TTTTAAAATTAGTAACCATCTCTTTTCCATATAGCCCTGTATATTGTTTCCAGCTAAATAATCATGCAATGCCCCTTTTTTGCACTTTCTGGATTCTAACTCCTCATTGTGTGACAATGTTTCATCTCACCTTGTATGTGATTTTTTTACAAACATTTTAAATCTGTACCCTTTGGTCCTTGGTCCATTTATGAGCAGGAACATTTTCGCCCTATCCAATCTGTCTAAACGGTGGCACGGTTGCTCAGTGGTTAGCACAGCTGCCTCACAGCGCCAGGGACCTGTGTTCAATTCCAACCTCGGGCGACTGTCTGTGTGGAGTTTGCATGTTCTCCTTGTGTCTGCGTGGGTTTCCTCTGGGTGCTCTGGTTTCCTCCCACAGTCCAAAGATGTGCAGGCTGATGGATTGGCCAAGCTAAATTGCCCATAGTGTAGATTAGGTGTGTTAGCCATGGGAAATGCAGGGTTATAGGGAAAGAGTAGGGGAATGGGTCTGGGTGGGATGCTCTTTGGAGGGTCGGTGTGGACTTGTTGGGCTGAATGGCCTATTTCCACACTGTAGGGATTCTATAACCCTACATGATACGAAGACTTCTATCAAATTTCCTCCTAGTCTTCTCCTCTCCAAGGAAAACTGTCTCAACCTCTCCAACCTACCCTCATAACTCAAGCATCACATCTCTGAAACCATTCTCGTAAAACTCTTCTGCACTCTCTCCAATGCATCACCAAGAACATAACTTTTTATTTTTCTGTATTTTTAATTGTGGACTGAAATGGGAAAAGGACTGTTTTAAAACTAAGGATTGTGGAAAGTATTAATTGGTCTGACTCACTAAAAATTTGACCAACCGACGGTTTTATTCAACAGACATGCGCATAGATCATTACACTCTATCAGTATACTTAACCTGGTCGGAGCATGAAACTTTCATTTACAGAGAACTGGCTAGGTTCTTCGGGTTCGTTTGCTTGTAGTTTTCTCGCAGTGTTAGTCTTGTGTTCTGCTGCTGGGAACAATTCACACTGATCCCTTTGTAGGTCCTTTACTTAAACCTCATCTTTACTACATCCTTTTCTTGTTGGCTAGTAAGTGACTCAATTATTCTTTTAACTCAATTAATGGTTCTTCTTGTCATGCAGCAGTTTGAGATCGTGTCATTTGTTTTAACTCAATCAATAGTTTATCTGGTTTATGCCACAGTTTTGATCTCAGCAGAAACAGTTTGAACCATTTCTTCGGTACTTGACTCGTGCTCTGGGGCCCCGTAGACTATTAACCTACTATATTTCATTCCACTTTACAGCCCCTTAGTCAACAAAAGAGTTACTGCATTTTTAAAAAAACAAGTTAATTGGCACTCACTGTCAGTGCTGTTAACATAGTTTCTTGTTCTTGGGAAAGGTTACTACAGAGGAGTTTGAGCCTGAGGATGTATATGAAGGGAGATTTGGCTGGTAACAAGTAGCTTATTGGTCTTTGGAGTGGTCACCAGTTGTTGTTGACAAAGGCCATCTCCCTGCCAACAACTGTGATTGGTAGCTGAGCAGCTTGGGGCAGGTGAATATTTGGTCTGTAGCTATTGGATCTCTGTAAAAGAAGGAGCTGTTCTTTTCTCTGCAGTTCAATAAAAAACACTCAAACTTGAAGAAAACCACATTATCTCCCCTCATCAGGTACTGTAAGCTGTGGCATTTAATCAACAAATCAAAAACTTTATAAAAGTGGACCAGTTGTTCTGTCCTTCTTGCAAGCAAGTGAAAGTATCTGGAGAAGGAGAATTGAGGAGCAAGAAGTCCTGAAAAACCATAAGGATCATCTCAGTGAGCCCTGTGGGACAGGAACCATTGAATTACCTTCCCAGCTTTTCCCTCCTCTCATAATACCCATGCATTTTTGTGTCTGTCTGTGTCTGTCGATTATGTGTATGTAGAAGGAACTTTTTAAGGGGTTAGGGTTTTAAATTGTAGAATTGTATGTTGTCAGATCATAACTGTCTATCTGTTGCTAGAATCTATTTAACTTTGTAACGGCTTTGGACATAGCAGGTCTTGACCTCTGGCGTGCTACCCCAGTGAGGCATAACAAAGTTTTAGGGCTTGTCTGACATCTATATTAAGCAGAGGCAATGAGGGTTTGGAAATGGAATTGGTACAAACATAGCTGAAGGAAAATCTTGTTCTGTATGGCATTTTAGACATGACACTGGAAATAACAAAGGACTTGGTTGATAATTTGAGGATAGCATTACTTGACAGTTATGAAGACAGATGTAATTAAGAGTTTAGCATGGCACTTCGATTTAATGGAAATAAAAGAGAGATCAGGGAGCAAAACATTGTAATCAGTTGCTATTCGGATATGGTTAAAACAGTGTGAGCCTGAGGTGAAATTGAAGACACTAGAAATAGCAGAAAAAGACCAGGAAGGGAAGGTGGCAATGGAAATGTAAAGAATGGAAATCAAAAACTAGAATCAGATTTGCAAAGGGAAAGAGAAGTGAGAGAACATGAGTATAAACTCAAAACAATAGAGTTGAAACAAAACAGGAGACGTCAGGTACAAATGCATGCCCTAGTGGGTAGAATCTGAGTCATAACTTGAAGTCCAGTATGGAAATATTTAAGTTTTTGCAGGTCCTACCAAAATTTGAGGAAAAGAATGTGGAGCATTCTGCATGTCATTCGAGACAGATGAATCAGGAAAAAGAAAATTAGATACTGCTGATACAGATTAAATTGACAGGTAAAACACGGGAAAAGTATGCTTCGCTGTCAGAGGAACTTTCTCTATTTTAACTTTAGTTACTTTTACTTATTTTAACTTTACTCTTGTGCTATTAACCATAAATCGGAGGTGAGTAGAAAGTAGAATTTTCTTACTATTATAAATCTCAAATTTGCTCCCTTTCTTATACCAGTAGCTTTTTACTTTCCTTGTCTTAGTATAGAAAACTACATTTTTACGCTTTGCTGGAGTTGAAATTTGGTCCCTGACAGTAGCTGTTTAACAAACAATCAACTCACAAATTACCTGTGATGTCATTCAACGTTTTTCAAACTCAGCCATGCTCCCTGGAATGGCTTCCCCTCACAGGTTTGACCCCTTGTGCCACCAGAGGGAAGTGAAAGGCACTGAGCCTCTGCCTCATAATATTAACCACTCCATAATATTACCCCTTGCAGGTTTGACTCTTCTGCCCTCTGGAAGATAAGTCACCAACTTAGAAGCATCCCATTTGGATCAGGTGACTTGTTAACATTTGAGTAACGCCAACCTATTGAGCAGCTCCTTTCTTTATATTGTTATACTTCCCACTCTGTTCGGTATGAAGGCTGGCTAAAATAATAGCTTAATGTAAATATTATAAACAATTAGCACTTCTGTTTTAAATAGTTAATTTAGTCCATCTACTGTAGCTTAACTATTCTATGTTTTTATGCATTATTTATTGTTTATTCACTTGCTTATTTTTTTGTTCACTAAATTTGCCAGACAGCATGAAATGTGATCTGGTGCATTTTATGCTGTGTTGCTATTTGGACTTACGAGAAAAATCATTTGAGAGCATAGGATATGTTGAAAAGTTGAAGAAGAGCTTTCTCTTCATTATTTTGGGAATGTTATCTTTAAACTCAGCTATTCAATGGGATTGTTAATGATATACTCAACGTATGAACAATAAAAAAAACATTTAAAACAGCATAAAATATAGAAGCTGAAGCATCTAAGATAAGAAGAGAAAATGAGACCACAAAATGTAACATCTCCATTAACTCTCCCCCTTTCAGTTCTGAACTATTAGTATTCAAAGATTTGCAATGAATTGGTAGAAATTGTGTTCAGAAACCACAAACATTGGTAATCACACTGTGCATACATTGCTCTTGTAACCCCTTTGAACAGGAAGGCTTCTTTTTCCAGAAGATGAATGTGGAGTTCTATTTCCATTAATAGCATAATACAGAGGTTAAAGGATAATTACTTAATTAATGTATGTGAAATCTGACACACTATCACTGATGAACTCTAATGATGTCTGCTAATGGCTTTTCCACTTTAGTTTGGCACCAGATAAAACAAATCCTTTATTGTTAAAATACTTAGTAATGTGTTTTTTTCTGTTCAATACTTCCTCAATTATTAGTGGATGTTTTGAACCCACTTAGATAAAGGTATATTGAATGAATCACCTCTCTCAGAAATTCTCTCACTTCTGTAGCCTGTAAAAGTAAAAGCTTCTGGTGACATGCAAAAATAAACAGCAGGAACTGGAATATTAAGTGATATCAGTTCCTATCTCATCCTCAATTCATTTCATGCCCATACTTTCCATAAACTGAAATATGTTTGTACATTGTGTTTCTAGTACATTGTGTTTCTAACCATTCTACAACCATTAATTAATGTGCCAGCATAACATGATACTGTGACCCATTGACAAACATGTGTTCTAACTTTAGTCAGCATCGAGACAGTTTCATCATGGCAGGGTGTGGGAGGAAAGATTTTCTGTTATGGAAAATGTTTTCCTGTCATTGAGTCCTACAGACTGGGGTTGGAAAATCACATCCTCAAAACTGTTGCTGCAGAGATGAGTAGTTGTGCAAGAGTGATGAACAGGAGTGGAATTGGGAAGTGTAATTAAAACCAATGAGCTTTAAATCATATAAATTAATGCATTAGTGCAAACGTAGAATCTTCTTATTTGACAGTAATTGGAGAACACATTGGAACTCAGGTAATCTAACTTGTAAACATGATCCATTTACTTTGGTTAGAATCATAAGTCTACTAAATAAAGCCCAAAAGCACAGTCATAAAAATAAATTGACCTTGAAAGCCAGACAAAAAAAGATGATATTTAATTGTAATTCCGTTCAAGGTTCGATCTAAAATTGAAATAATGAAATCTAAGCTGTTTCATTTGTTTTATGCTGTTTGTATGCATAATCTGCCATCGCTAATCTGGAAATGGTTTCCTTCAATTCTTTTCCAGCCTCTGTAGTGATGCAGAAGTGGTGGTGCCATATGAATCCTTGCCTAGAGGGCGAGGAATGCAAAGTTCTTCCAGATCTTTCGGGATGGTCCTGCAGCAGTGGTAACAAGGTCAAAACCACCAAGGCAAGTAAATTGAATTAGCAGCCAGTCAGACTCTACACTGATCTTAAGTATGAAGTCATTAAACAATTCTCCTAAAGGTTTTTCTCTATTATGAAATAATAAAAACTGTCACTTTCTATCTGCTAGAAATTGCGAAACATTAAATGTCAGAATGTTCATTGCTATACTTGTTAACAATGAATGATTTACACAGACTTGTTAATGATATTGCTGAGGAAAACTGTATAAACTACATGAACATAATTTTTAAGAAAATTTTAGCACTGATAAAAGATATATTTATAATTTGGGAAGTTTTTGCAACTATCCAAATGGCAACAGCCAATATTTAATTTGAAATTTTGTACCAAATGTACATTTTTCATTTTCATGGCAAAGTAAAATCTATTATAACAGCTTAAATGATCAATGTTGGAAATGAATCTATCCCTAAAGTGAAGTGAATCTCCTTTGTGTCAAGTAAGAATTGTTCACAAAATGTAGCAGAGTATATTCGTGGTCATAATCCTGTCAACAGCTTGACTGCTATTATTGGAATTCCATTAGGTTTTATTCTATATAAAATAGCTACTATGGGCTTTATTGGTTCTAGTTCCTTTTTCTTTATTATCATTTGTTACACATATTTAACAATACAATTAGTGCCCTAGTTGAATACCATAATAAATCACAATATCATTGTGTGTCTATTTTAGAATTGTCATGATACTTGGAAACTACTGTGAAAATGCTGAGTGTTTTCAGCTATATAGCTATTAATGAAAATATGGAACTTTGTATCTTATTCCTCAATTGAGGAAGCACAGTAAAATCAATCCATATTGCTGACAATTTGCACAAATTAAGATTAATTTTGTTTTTGATAATCATATAACCTGAAAATATGTGTTGTCCATAAACAGGGTCATTTTTGTGATTACATCTTTAAGGATAGAACTGAAATTGGAAAATAAAATGGAGTCTTTTTTTTAATGTACACCTATGGTGAGTGGTGGCTGATGATCGTTTTGCTACATGATAATGTCTCACCATAACAGCTTGTACCTTAAAAGTTGGCCTCCTAGTCCTGCCGTCTTACTTTTACACAGTCCAAGACAAAAAAAAGTAATCTGCTTGTTTTGTGTATCCTTTTGATGAAGGAGCAAAAAGATGCAAAATTGACAACACCAGAAGTTACCTTTCCATGGTTGGATTATGTTCTGATGTAGGCTGTTTGATTTTTAATGCAGGTTCAGGCTAGACCTATTAGTTAAGACCATTGCTTATTTTTAAACTATGTATGATTCTCAGGCGACAGAGCAAAATGTGCTAGGCTGCAGGGTCTATCATCTTAGTCAAACACTAACATATGACTTCTGAGGTTCCAGTAATAGCGCAACTGACCTCAAAGGCCTATATTGAACTCTCTTGTTATAACCATCTAAAGGTAGAACCATCAGTGTCCTGCATTTATAGTTCATATCATTTCTATGTGTAGCATTGCTGGCATCTTCCCAAGATTGAAGCATTTACAAACATATATAGCCAGAATGAATGAATGATCCATCTTGCCTTCCTCCTGAGTATCACAGATGCTAGTTCTCAGCCAATTCTATTCACTCTAAATGATATTAAATGGTTGAAGGCACTGGTTACAGCTAGGGCTATGGGCCCGAACAATATCCTGATTGTAGTTCTGAAGAGTCCAGAATCAGCTGTACATTTATTGAAAATAATCCAACACAACTATAACATTGGTATCTAATGAAAAATTGGCCACTTATATTCTATTCATAAAAAGCAAGACAATTCCAATCAAACCCATCGGTCTCTTCTCAGTCATAGCAAAGTGACAGAAGTTGTTAATGAAAGTGCTAACAAGTGACACTTAGCAATAATCTGTTGATCAATGCTTAGTTTGTGTTCCAATGGCCAACTTTGCTCCAGTCCTTTCTAGAGCCTTGGCCTAAGCAAGGACCAACGAGCTGAATTCCAGCAGTTAGCTGAGAATTACTGCCTTGACAAGGCAGCATTTAATGAAGTGGCATTAAGGAGCAAGTGTAATATTGAAGTCAATGGGAATCAGGAAAAAAATGCTCCAAATGTTGGAGCCATACTTATCAAAAAGGAAGATTTTTGTGATGTTTTGAGGCCAATAATTTCAGGACATCCCTTCAGGAACTCAACGTGGTACCCTAGGCCCAACTATCTTCAGTTGCATCATCAAGATCTTTGCTCCATCGTATAGTCAGAAGTGTAAATATTTAGTGGATATACAATGTTCTGCACCATTAATGGCTCTTCAGATACTGAAGCAGTCCACGCTTGCCTGCAGCAATATCTACACACTCAAGAAGCTTTACACCATCCAGAACAAAGCAATCTGTTAGATTGGTACAACATCTACAACCATTCACTCCCTCCACTACTGACACAGAGTGGCAGCATTGTGCACCATCTACAAGATACACTGCAGAAATTCACCAAGGCTCCTTAGACAGCACTTTCCATATTTTTGGCTACTATGATTTAGAATGAAAATGGCAGCAGATCATGGGAACACCACCCACCTGCAAGTTCCTGTCCAAGGTACAAACCATCCTGACCAGGAAATATATTGCTGTTCCTTTCATGTTACTGGATCAAAATCCTGGAACTCCCTCCCTGACAGGAAATGGATTGCAGTAATTCAGGAAGGTAGCTCACCACCATCTTTCCAAGGACTATTTAGGTTAAGTAATAAATACTGTCTCAGCTAGTGAAGTCCACATTCCCATAAACGAATTTAAACAATTGTGATATACAGGAAGGCTGTCCAAGGGCCTTCTCACTGTTGATTAATTGGGCTCCCCACTTATGACCTTCCTACCCGATTAAATGCCACCCTTGTGGCTGAACTCAGCATGGAGGGGATACAAGGTTCTGCTCTTTCATTGTGGATAGTATTTAGAATGTTATTGTATGTTTGTGTGGCCACAAAGTGAATGCATCACTTGGATTTGATCAGACCAAGATACAGTTATTTTGCTGCTGCCCATACTTCTGAGGTCAGTGTGTATCAGCGGTTTTGGAAGCAGAAGCCATTCATCAGCATGTTGATTGATGTATAGAGAGCTTCCCAGTGGTGGCTGTGCTGCCTAGAGGGAACATTGATGGGAAGGTGAGTTCACCTTCTGTAAGATTCCTCTTTACATATTGGGTGCCTCCCACACATCTAGTACCTGCAGTTGCTCGCTTCCCCAAAACCTCCCTGAATTCTCCATCAAGAATACCAGAGACGTCTCCCCACCCCCTTGTCTCACCTTCCCATCCTGTCACAAAACTCCAGACTTTCCTGTTTTGACACTCTGGGACTTGGAATCTGGGGTTTGGGCACTCAGGAGATATTTCATAATTCTTAACAATGATACAGTCTATTGAGAAAGAAAGATAATGAGAAGGATGCACCATTTGTGGCTAACTAAAGACATTAAAGATAATATCAAATTGAAAGTAAAGACATACACTGCTGTAGAGAATAATGCAGTAAATGAGAAGGCAACTGTTAGGGATAAAAGGCATGAACGAGAAGGGGAATTTAAAAATGTCGTGAGTTATTCTTATGATAGTTTTGGAAGAGTTTTGTTTTATTTGTTTGTTTATTTGTTTTGAATGTGGGCATCAATGGCTAGGCCAGCATTTATTGCCCATACCTAACTATCCAGAGGACAGTTAAGAGTCAACCATGTTATTGTGAATCTGGAATCACATGTAACCAGACCAGGTAAGGATGACAAATTTCTGATGTAGCTTGCTATTTACATATTTGAGTATTACTCTACAGTTATCATTATCTATATAATTATATTTCACCAGCTGTTGTGTCAAGTCAACCTGACTGAAAGCCACATATCATGGAGTTGTAGATATTTTCTAGTCACTTCAGAAAGCTTGAAACTCTGTTTCCCCATCTCTGACAGCCAGGCAGATGAAACCTCCTTTGATTTTGTAGTGCCTCCTATGCTGCTGTTACGAGTTGGCTCCTCTAATTCTCTCTACCTCTTTATTGTGCTATACAACTTCTGTAATAAGGAAAGGAACAAACCCATGAGTGAGCGTATGGTCACCTGATAGATGGCATTCATATGGTGAGGATGACAATTGGTGATGCATGAAATTGCATAATGATGGCTGTCGGTCACTGTGGTGGATGCACAGATGTGTCAATGAAAATTGAGAAGGATTGGCACACCTACAAGGATAGCTGTGTAACAAGTGGTATAGCGGATTAAATTGAGAAGTAACGTGAAGGGGAGGGGTGATGTATACAGCAGAATGTAGGTGTACATGCAACAGTGCTCACCTTTCCTGGCCAGGTTAGGTCTTTATGTGGCTTCCAGTATTGCATTCAGAAGTGTAGCAGGACCCACAATCACAGCTCCTTTGTTTCTACCACTGGTTTCTTCCTCCCACTGCTTGGGGAATTGTGTACAGATGGAGGAGATTGGAACAGAAGTAGACCATTCTGTCCCTTGAGCCTAATCTGATATCCACTATCAGCGTGGCTGACCTACGTATATTTCAAATGCCATGTTCCCATCTACCTCTGATAATACTCAATTCCCCTGTCTAACAAGAATCTATCTACCTCTGCCTTAGAAATAGTGCAAGCAGGGCCATTAGATATTTTGAGGCAGAGAGTTCCAAAGGTGCACAATCTTCTGAGAGACCTCTAATTTTCAAACAGTGTCCACTAGTTCTCATCTCATCCACAAGGGAAACATCCTGTCAACCCCAACATTGCAAGACCATTCAGGATCTTATACACTTCACTCGAGTCACACATCTTTCTTCCAAACTCCAGTGGAAACAAGCCCAGCCTGTCCAATGTCTCCTCATAAGTCAATCCATTCATTCCAACTACCGGTCTAGTAAATCTCCTCTGAACTGCCTCCAATGCATTTTTATCCTTCCTTAAACAAGAGATCAAAACTTTACCTTCAAGATGTGCTCTCACGAATGCCCGGTATAACTGAAGCGTTATGTTCATTTTACGTTCA